CTTTGGGATACATCCCTAACCCTTGGGATACGTCCCTAACCTCTGGGATACGTCCCTAACCTTTGGGATACGTCCCTATGTTTCTCCCTCTTCGGTTAAAAGCGTTCGGAATACGTTCCAATGCTCACGCCATTTCGAAACACCGGGATATGTCCCTATGTTTCTCCTTCTTTTTCCAAAACACCGGGATACGTCCTTATGTTTCTCATTCGTTTCGAAACATCGGGATACGTCCCTATGTTTCTCCCTCTTTGGTTAAGAGCATTTGGAATACGTTCTAAAGCTTATACCTTTCCAAAACACCGGGATACGTCCCTATGTTTCTTTGCATGATTAGAAGTTATGTTCGGCTTCTTACATTTTCAGTTGCATTTTGCCCCTGCCTTCGGGCGCATATCTTTATCTGTAGCTTGTATGCTTTGTCTAAGTCTTCGGCCTTGTCAAAAATGGGTCGTCTCTGGTCTTTGACACTCACTCCCGCCATTGTTATGACTTTCGAGTTCTGTCAAAGAGGGGCAACTGTAGACACCCCATTTTTGACCGTCCTCAAGACTTGGACGTCACCGTTTGAACACCCGGTGATTATCCATGTTTGTGTTCGTTTGGAGTTCCCGGAGGTCTCGGCTACGCGCCTTGCCTCAGGATCTCCGAACTCGACAGTTTAGTGTCTAGTTTTGCACCAAACACTTGTGTTTTGCCTTGGAGGGGCAGGGAATGCCTTGTGAGGCATCCCCACACATCACCGGCCGTGGCTAGAGGCCACCGGCTGGTATTTTGTTGCCATCGGCAATGTATATTGCCGGTCGGCACTATTTGTTGCCGGTCGGCACTCATTTTTCCCAAAATGGCAATTTTGAGCAGCCGTTACTGTTCATCTGCTTTTGCAGATATTTTAAAACAGCTGTATGTCATTTGGTTCCCCTCCATACACGTGTATGGAGGGATGCACTCCTTGTTAGCTTACCTTGTAAGCTTTACAAGATTGGCTCCTCTATAAGAGGAGCCCTCCCCTCTTGGCTTTAGGTTAGAGATTTTGGACATTTTAGAAATAGAAAACACAGAGGAAAGCTCTGGTTTTAGGGTTAAGGTTTGATACATATCCTATCTCTATTTCCCTCTCTTGAGTGTTCTAGGTGTTTTAGTCCATACTATTGCACACAAACACCTAGTGTTTCACCTTCCTTTGGCTACTGAGGTTCTAAGGGGCTGGTTTTGGTGTTTTAGAGTTGGATTCAAGCCAAGGAGGGCTGTTGGAGCACCATTGTTGAAGAGGTCTTCAAGGGTAAGAATCTTACCCCTTTTTTACCCCATTTTTGCATTGCTTTTTTACCTATCTTAGAGCTGTTTTCGTGCTTATTGTATAAGACAAAAAAGTTCTTTTTTTATCCCTCTTGATTGTTTGTTTAGAGTGTTTTGTGGTTTGGGGGTGTTTGACCCCTCTTAGGCCTTGAGAGGCCCCATTTTGAGCCATTTTGAGTGAGCTCCGGGACTTTGGTGTTTGGGCCTCCTCACCACTGAAATCTTGAGGGATTTCAGAGGTGAGGATGGTGCCTTGAAGTCCCAAGAAGGAGAGGGCCACCCCCTCTCCTTGTTGTCCTTGAAAAGGATCATTTTTGGCCTCTTGAGGGAGCATCATGTTAGAGTGTGTATTAACCATGTCTTGGCTGCTTTCCATGCTTAATATGTTGTAATATACCTCTGTTTTTAATTGGTTTTGGTACACCATGCATGCTTAGCATACCTACCTTGTAATGCCATGTTTAGGCCTTAATATGCCTTAGGTTGTAAACCGTTGTTCGAGCATGTTTTAGGTCTAGTTTTGTGAAGCTTGTGAGCTTATTTTGCCATGCTAGAGGTCTGTCCATAGTTGTTTGGTTCGGCCATGGCATGCATTATATGCCCCCTTTACATTTTGGCTTGTTGGCCTCAAGTGTGCGAGTATGTAGCATGCACTACTTGCTTGGCATCATTTATAGCATAATTTCAGTCCCTTTGACATGCTTGTATGCTTGCTTTTGGACACTTCTTTGAAGCTTTGGAAGCTTGTCTTGCATGCTCCATGTTTTGGTCATCGTGCATGCTTTTGATTTTGAACCATTTAGATGCCATCTAGGTGTCCCTTGGGTGTTGTTTAGGTTTGCACTAGACCTATTTTAAGTCCTCTTAGCCTTGTAAGGCTTGGTTGATTTAGTCTTGGTTTAAGCCTTTTGGTTTGCCTTGGGTTTTTGGCTTTGTTTGCATGCCTTGTTTGCCTTGTTTAATCAGCTTAACACCCTTTGTAACATGATTTTCAATGCTTACCTTGCATGCCATTAGTCCATGTTATGCCTCTTTCAAGTGTACTTGAGAGTTGCCCTTTTATGCTTAAGTGTTGGTCCTTGTATGCATGCATGTTTGCATGACATTTAGCCCTCATTTTATAGCAATTTGGCCACTGTTTTGGGCCTAATTAGAGCTGCCCAAATTATGTTTAAGTCCATCTCTTTGTTTGTTGCATGCTCTCCTTGTATATTGTAGTATATTGGTGAGTCGTCGCATGTTTGAAATCACATGATTGAATGAAGTCACATGTTGGCTTACATGCTTGAATGCCTACATTAGCCTTGCACACTTGTTAGTTGCATTGCTCTATGCCTTGCATTTCTTGCATGCTCATTTGCATTGCCATATTGCATGCCTAGTCAACATGCTTAGGTTGCATTGCATTGGCATGCATGCTTGGCCTCTTGACTATCCATGATAGAGGTTAAGTCCCCATTTGTTTGTTAGTTTGCATTGCATGTAATTTGACATCAAAGTGTGCACACTTGGTCCCTTGGGCCATCACGCATTGAAATACGCAATTGATGGTCCAAGAACCAAGGGTCATGGCCCTTTGAGTCACTAACATGATAAGGGACATGATTAGTTCATACATTGCTTGAATTGTATTGCCATGCTCTGCCTTGCCCTCTGCTGCTGTGAGTTGCAGGTTCTGCAGGCATTCTTTGCCGACCGGCAGTATACATTGCCGACCGGCAGTGAATTAGCAGCCGATGGATTCATTTTGTGCCGGTGACTACACCACAATGCCGGTGGTAATTCTATTCAGCCGGTGGCACTGCTCAATGTCCAGAGAAGCAATCCTGAGGTTTCAACAGCCTCCAGAGGAGTATAGCAAAGAAAACAGAGGCAGCCTATGCATGGCGGTGCATTTCCGAGCGAGACCCGAGCACGCATTGCATTAGGCTCCCATCCCGAGGCGGTTTACTCATGCAAGTTCTATCCTCTGCTGCTGTGAGTTGCAGGTTCTGCAGGCATTCTTTGCCGACCGGCAGTATACATTGCCGACCGGCAGTGAATTAGCAGCCGATGGATTCATTTTGTGCCGGTGACTACACCACAATGCCGGTGGTAATTCTATTCAGCCGGTGGCACTGCTCAATGTCCAGAGAAGCAATCCTGAGGTTTTAGCAGCCTCCAGAGGAGTATAGCAAAGAAAACAGAGGCAGCCTATGCATGGCGGTGCATTTCCGAGCGAGACCTGAGCACGCATTGCATTAGGCTCCCATCTCGAGGCGGTTTACTATTTTTCCTAGCTTAGTTAGTTTGTTAACTGTTTAGACAATTTGTAATAATTAATTAGCTTGTAGGTTAATTATCTGTAATATTTATTCGGTCCCTCCGAGCGAGGGCGAATTTGTAATAAGTGTGTGTGTGTGTGTGTGCATGTCTTCCAATCCCCACTTCTTTCTTCCCTTTTACTTACCTGCTTTGATGGTTAGAATAGGTCATGTTTAAATTAGCATACTTTATGCTATGCATGCGTGCATTCATGCATTCGTATTGCATGCATCAGGCTCGGTACATCATGCTAACTGCATTTGTACTTCAATTCCAAATTGAATACGTGCATCAATTGACTGCTTTTCACATGCCATGCTTAGGTTAGCCGAGCCTATTCTAAGTGCATCCTGTATGTGTTGCATTAGTCAATTTAACATGAACTAAGACCATGCATGTTTGCTAACTAGTTTATTGTTTTGGAACGGAGTACTATGTAAGTATTTTCCTGCTTTAGCATCTCGCATGGGTGTGAATGCTATCATGACAGCATGCTTACCATGTGGCTAGATGCTTATGTGATAAATTGCCTGATTGCCTGTGGGTGAAGGTTGGGTTGTTTGAGTCGGAAAAACTCGTTGAAATCCATATTTTTAGCCTACTTGCGAGTAGCAAATTCCAAAACATTCTTCTAAGAAAAACGGATATGCAATGTTTATTTCCGAATTAGGCAATCTAGTCTATACTTGTGTGCTGTGCGCATAACATAGTAATTCTAGGCTAATAAATGGAAGAAGAACATGTAATGTTTTCAAAATTAGATATCACGGTTAGTAGAGGCCAATCTTCGGATCGGGCGAGAGGGGGTGCTCATAGCTGACCTTCCCCAATCGTCCCCTAGCTCCCGAGCCGAGACAACTCCGGTGATGACGGACATGTGGCCTTCGGCACCGAGTCAGGGTTTCCTAAATTCTCCCATAAAAAATATTTAGGTGGCGACTCTGTATCTGGCAAAGCAGTCCATGTTTGGCACTACTTTTTCAAAAAAAAATCTGTTTCTCAAAACGATTTGCCGGATTTGGACTCTTTGGTTCAGATTAAGAACCGTGAAACAAAATCGAGAGTCCGAACTGTAGCGAGGTCCCCCCCGCGAACGTGTTACAGGTACCTCCTCGGAAGTAAAGTTCACCTTGAATAATTATGAATTGGGCAAGCCTGGCCATGGTCAATTTTCCAAATTTGCTTCTGAGTTGTTCGAGGACTTCTCCTCTCCAGTCCTCCGGAAAGCCTTTGTCTTCAGGTATTATCGAAGGCTCTGTTCTCTTCTTGATAATAATTGTCGCCTCCTCCTCTGGAATATCAACTCTTGCCCCTAATGTTACAAGGGCATCTGAAAACTTGTTGTCGGAGTGAGGCACATGCTCTATTTCAACCTTCTGAAATTTGTCAAGAAGCCTTTAGATTGTTGTTCGATATGTGGCCAAGGCAGGCTCCTTTAAGACGAACTGTCCTGAAACTTGCTTCACTATCAACTTTGAGTCCCCCCGAATCCGAATCTTCTTGATATTGTGCTTCTCAGCTGCTATCAAGCCCAAAATAAGAGCCTCATACTCGGCTTCATTATTCGAACAATAGAAATCCAGTTTATAAGACAAATATAACTTTTCCCCACTTTTGCTTGTAAGGACTATCCCGGTTTCTCCTTTACCTCCAACTGCTGCTCCGTCAAAGCTCAATGTCCAAAAGCTTTCCTCGGAAGCCATAGCCGCATGCACGTCTCCTCTTAATTCTTCATTCACTGGTTCATAGTCAGCACTTGGAAATTGGGCAAAGAGATCGGCTAAGGCTTGGCTTTTGATTGCCTTGGGAGCTACACATGTGATCTCGAATTCACCCAGTGCTAACAACCATCTTGCCACCTTCCCGATTATAGTCGGCTTGCTGATAAGGTATCGGATTGGATCACTCCTAGTAACAATCTGAATCTGACGTGCTAAGAAGTAATGTCTGAGCTTTTGGGCGGTGAATACCAAAGCTAAGCAATATCTCTCTATCGGAGTATATCGGACTTCTGCTCCTCGAATCTTCTGGCTGATGTAATACATCGGGCGTTCTACTCTGTCTACATCTTGGACCAATAATGCCCCTATGGACTTGGGGGTTGAAGTTAAGTACAACATTAGAGGCACCCCAGGCTGCGGGGCTATCATGGTCTGAGGCAAGGTCAAGGCCGCCTTGATTCTCTAGAAGGCCTTTTGGTGCTCCTGGTTCCACTCGAACTTGGCATCTCCTTTTAACAATGAGCCGAAAGGGGCAGAGATCTCTGCAAGTGCTGGGATAAACCTCCGAATATAAGACACCTTCCTGAGGAACTTCTTTAACTCATTCTGAGAATGCGGGGAAGGCATTGCTCTGATAGATTTGACATTGTCTTCATCTACCTCGATACCATGCCTATGTACAAGAAACCCGAGGAACTTCCCGGCCGTCACCCCGAAAGCACATTTGAGAGGATTCATCCTCATTTTGAATTTCTGGCACCTCTTTAATACCTTCTCAAGGTCTCGGAGATGGTCCTCTTCTTTCTTGAATTTCACCACTAGATCATCAACATAATCTTCCACCTTATGATGGATCATGTCATGAAAGATTGCAGTTATAGCCCTTTGGTAAGTTGCTCCGGCATTCTTGAGTCCGAAAGGCATGACTGTATAGAAGAAGTTTCCGAGAGGTGTTCTAAAAGCGGTCTTTTCTGCGTCTTCTTCAGCCATCTTAATCTGATTGTATCCGCTGAATCCATCCATGAATGAGAACATCTGGTGTCCTGAGGTGGCATCTACGAGGGTGTCGATGTGTGGTAGAGGGAATTCATCCTTCGGGCAAGATTTGTTCAAATCTCAAAAGTCTACACATAATCTGATTTGACCATTCTTCTTCTTTACTGGCACTATGTTTGCCAACCACGTGGGGTACTGTATTGGCCGGATGAAACCTGCTTGTTGAAGTTTTTCAATCTCCTCCTTAATCTTCTCTTCGAGATCCGGATGATATTTTCAAAATAAGATGCCACATAAACATGGTGTCGTCCTCTTCCGTAGTACTCTTCTCCTTCTGGATCAAAGGGATCGTCGACATGAGTTGTGAAGGTTCTGCCCTCTGGATCGAGAGCACTTCCATAGTAAACTTGCTCACCCTCGGGCTCGAGGATGTCGTCCAGATAATAATCATCGTCATCGAGATTGGCGATAGCCTCGATCATCGGGCCTTTATAAGCTATCATAGCAACATTCTTTCCCTTGTCTCGGTGCTGAGGATATGGTTGTTCTCGGATGTCTTGAGTCCACTGCTTTTTGAACCTTAATTCATCTGCCTCGACTTTATCTCTGAAGATTTTCCTGAGAGTCCAACACTTCTCTGTTGGATGTTTCAATGTACGATGGTAGACACAAAATTCAGGGCTGTCGCGGTCCTTTTTTGATGGCATTTCTTCGACATAAGGCAATTTTAGCTCTCCGTCGGCCACCCATTCCTTAACTAGAGGTTTCACTTCCTCGATTCCACATGGATAAGAAACATTCCCCTTTTCACCATTATATTGCTTTCTCTTCTGGCCTCTATGACCTCCTCCTTGTGACTTTCGGGTATCTAGGGCAGAGGCAGTAGCAACAATAGGTCCACGAGACGATCTGAAGCTAGTCTTGTAACTGGCCTTAAATCCGAACTCCTGAGCCTGAGGAATGCTAATGTTCCGAGCTACTTCTATTAATGCCGAGAAGGTAGGTAGCTTGTGATTAACTAGAAACATTTTGTACCTGCTCAATGCCCCTTCTAGACAGATTTGAACCAGATAACTCTCCTCCACTGCTTCATGGCAATCCACGGCCTTGTCCTGAAACCTTTTGATGTAATCAAGGATGTCTTCACTTTCTTGCTGCTTTTCTTTACACAATGTAAGTGTGGTCACCTTCTCCGCCACTTGAAAGAACTTAGAGTGGAATTTGTTAACCATTTCCTCCCAACTTCGGACAGAGTTTGGGGCCAAATTAACATACCAACTATATGCTCGGTCGGTGAGGGACTTAGAGAATTCTCTCAGCCGGAGGACGTGGTTTGAACCATGAATACCCAGAGTCTCGATGAATCGCACAACATGTTCTCGAGCATTTCCTTGTTTGCCATCGAACTTGATGAATTTCGGCACTGTATACCCCTCAGGGTATGGATAACTGAGCATCTCAATGGGGTAAGGCGGCTTGACATCCAGATCAGGCAAAGAGGGTAAAGTCCTCTTGCCCCGTTCGAGATCGAACATGGCCTGCACATCAGCGAGAGTGAGCAACTGTTGAGGCAGAGAGTTTGATGGTGGTATTCCCAGAACTTGGCTTATGGACCCGAAGACTGAGCTAGGGGCTACTTGGCCATTCTGGTGCTGCGAATTCTTCATTGGTGAGGACATTTGACGATATTGGCCATCAGCACCTATAGACAAGCCAGTTGGTGATGGGACATTGAATTGAGGCCCGTAAAGTCCACCGCACGGCGTTGCTATTCCGGTTTGTGCTTGCAAATTTGTTGTTGGCACCAAAGGAGGCCCGCCTGGTACTTGAGTAACATTTTCTGGTGGCGTAACAAGATTAGGTACGGGCAGAGCTCCCTTTTGCGCCATCAGGCCCCTTATGTTTTCCTGGACACCAACAGTTGCCGGAGTGCCATTCATTACACCAGAACCTCCCCTAGTCACCACTGGATCTTGGCTTGGCACACTATGGAGTCCGGGCATGGGCAAACTGCTGCCGCCCACTGTGGTTTGAGCATGTGTTACTGTGGCCGTGTTGCCATGAGCCATACGCTGATTGGGGCCTACTTCTCCTTGGATTTGATTTTGTGCTCCGGGGGGGATAACTCCACCACCAGTTTGATTTCCGTTTGGCGCCGGTGCAAAGTTAGAACTCATCACCAACATGGTGTGAGTGAGATTCTGAAGAGTGGTAAGAATCTCCTGCTGAGTATTTTGAAGTCCTTGAATGGCCTCAAGCAAAAGTGGTTGATCTGGAGCCATGGTTCTGTCATCACCACCATTAGAGGATCCTTGTTGGTAAACTTCATCTTATCCCGCCATCCTTGTTAGAGTTGTGTGGATTCCAGATCTCGTTGAGACCATTAACCAATCCACCTCCCCAGTGAAGTCGCCAAAAATGTAGGAGAGGGTTCAAGAAATGAGTTAGAAAATTCAAAGATCTTCGAAGATCCTTGAAGAACAACTTCGAATTCTCTAGAAGAAATATGAGAGGCTTAGATTCTTCAATGGTCTCAACTCAAGAACACAAGAATAAAGGAGATGATAGAGATAAGAGATTGGGTGAAGAAGAAGGCAAAGTGGCTAGAGAAAGAATAATGGCAAGGCTCTCCTATGGATCTCTCACTTTCACTCTCAAGGTTGATAATGGAGAAAGGAAATTAGTTCTTTCCCAAGAGTTAATCCTCCAAAATCCATCCCCTGTAAAGCTATGGGTGGGTGCTATTTATAGGCACCCCGTGATGTAGGATGGAGCCCATGTGCAAGGCACATGGGGAATATTCTCTCTAACCACTTTGTTCGAGGAGATGACCTCTCCGAGGATGAGGAAAATCCCGAAGAGGAGATCAACCTCTCGGCGAACCCTTCTTCTTAGCCACACCTAACCAATGATCCCCAATCATCCCAAAGGACGTCCTGCCACATAAGGGTTAGGGGTAGTTCAAGAGAACGCCCTGCCGCAAATATTGCCGAGTCTCAGGGACCCCCTAGATTTTGCCACCTCGACCCGGGTATAGGCTAGTTTAACCGAAGAGTGAATTTATCTCCACTCACCGTCCTCGGGATCGGGTCCTTTGTTCGAACTCCATTATGCCCATGGTTTTGGTGCGTAGATCCCGGAAAGCTCCGAGCCCACAAGTGTTCTGGGACTCATTAACAGAGCGACTTCTAGATTGCGTCTGAATCCGTTCGAAGCCAAGTGCTTCGGATCTCTAGGTTCGTGGATCCAAACCCTTTCGAGTCCGAGTGCCTCGAATCTCTAGGCTTGCTCAATACCTTTTCGAATCCGAGCCCGAGTATGTCTCTAAGTTCGTGGATCCGAACCCTTTCGAGTCAAAGTGCCTCGGATCTCTAGGCTTGCTCAATACCTTTTCGAGTCAGGGCCCGAGTAAGTCTCTAAGTTCGTGGATTCGAACCTTTTCGAGGCTTAGAGCCATTCAGTCCATTTGATGGCGATAAATCCGGGCCCATCAATCTTGGACTTGCGATAAATTCGGGCCTACTAATCTTGGGCTATTGGGCCTAAATAATTTAGTGGGCTCAAATTAGCCCCTCTTACAAACATATATTACAAACATTTGTAACATTCACCCCCTAAAAATAATAAATTTCTTCTCCTGTGGTGCACATGATAGATTTTCTCCTTAATTTACACAAGTCAACCTTACAACTTATAAGAGGGGCTAATTTGAGCCCACTAAATTATTTAGGCCCAATAGCCCAAGATTAGTGGGCCCGAATTTATCGCAAGTCCAAGATTGATGGGCCCGGATTTATCGCCATCAAATGGATTGAATGGCTCTAAGCCTCGAAAAGGTTCGAATCCACGAACTTAGAGACTTACTCGGGCCTTGACTCGAAAAGGTATTGAGCAAGCCTAGAGATTCGAGGCACTTTGACTCGAAAGGGTTCGGATCCACGAACTTAGAGACTTACTCGGGCTCGGACTCGAAAAGGTATTGAGCAAGCCTAGAGATTCGAGGCACTCGGACTCGAAAGGGTTCGGATCCACGAACCTAGAGATCCGAAGCACTTGGCTTCGAACGGATTCAGACGCAATCTAGAAGTCGCTCTGTTAATGAGTCCCAGAACACTTGCGAGCTCGGAGCTTTCCGGGATCTACGCACCAGAACCATGGGCGTAATGGAGTTCGAACAAAGGACCCGATCCTGAGGACGGTGAGTGAAGATAAATTCACTCTTCGGTTAAACTAGCCTATACCCGGGTCGAGGTGGCACGATCTAGGGGGTCCCTGAGACTCGGCAATATTTGCGGTAGGGCGTTCTCTTGAACTATCCCTGACCCTTA